TCTTTACTCAGGCTCTACTAAGGCCTAGTCCACACGTAGCGGGTTTTTTTAAAAACGAATATCCGCCCCTCCAAAAACGTCCATCCACACCACCCCGTTTAAAAAAAAAACTCTGTCCACACGTACCCAGATAAACACGTTGTTAAGGACAGGCCAGACCTGTAGGCGGCAGTACTTCCCCCGTTCTTAACCTCGTCCTTCATCTGTGGTCTTCCGCAAGGAGCAGTAATTCCGCTTGCAAAAACAAACAAGCAGAAAGCGCTTGGACAATTGATAAAGCGAGCGCAGCTCTGAGGGCATCCATGATGTCGGCTAGTGTAAACACAGGTCGCACACGTGATGTCAGCATTTTTTTGTCGCGGAAAGTGACGTTGCGGACCTTAAAACTCCGGTTTTGTCTGTCCACACGCAGACACCCAAAACGGAGAAAACGCAGATCTTCACTTTGGCCGGAGTTTTTAAAAAGATCTGTTTTTGTGTGAAAAAACTCCGTTTTCGTGTGGATGACAGGCCAAAACGTAGGAAAATATCTACGTTTTGGCAGATCCCCGGCTACGTGTGGACAGGGCCTTAGACTCAGAGGTGTGACTAAGTCACTGCTTTGCAAGTCACAAGTAAGTCACAAGTCTTTCCAGTCAAATCTCGAGTCAAGTCCAAGTTAAAGACAACAAGTCCAAGTCCTTAACCTTGAATTTTCAAGTCATAATCAAGTCATCTGTCTAACTTCAATTTAAATAAGAGGATAATTAAGACGTTTTAGGAAAAGAAACAAAAACATAAAAAGTGAACAATGGGAGGAATTCCACTTAATGAGCATTAAAGTTTGGTTAAATTTGGCTAAAGTAGTAGACAATTTCATGATTTTTGTCCATGGTGTGTCACTGTTGTGCTAAAATATCAAATATGCTCAAGTCATCATCAAGTCAACAGATGCAAGACGATTCAAGTCGCAAGTCATTGGCGTTCAAGTCCGAGTCAAGTCGTAAGTCTTTATAGATTTCACCAAGTCAAGTCAAAAGTCATTAAAATAATGACTCGAGTCTAAACCTCTGCTTATACTCCATGCAAACAGTTTTGGATTTATGTTCAGTGACTATGCCTCCTGATCTAGCCAATGGTTCATGTGATATTTGCAACCAGGACATAAAATAAAGTTGATTCCAATGATTAAAGAGCAAGTCACCCCTAAATCTTAGTTTTCCCCCTGATAAACTGTATAAATGAGTGTATAATAGTGCTGTAGACATGTGTAGTCAATAATTTGGCATTTTAGTGAATCTTAATTAAAGTATGAATATTCAGCCTAAAATCATCGGTGTAGCGCCCTCTTCAGGTTAAAACTCTGCTCTGTACTGAATTAGAATCAGCCAACGTCTAAAACAGAACACAGTAGCGTAGCCTGTTCAGTGTGGTGTCTGCTGCACTGCCCCTGTGGGATATAGAGAGTCTCGGCCACGCCTCCAGCTAGCTCGGCCTCTCTCGAGCCCACATGAAAACAATATGGCTCAGAGCTGCTTGCCTCTTTCTAAATGGGTGTGTGCTTGTCAAAAGTTCATTTCTCCTACAAAGAGACTCTGAGAGCGCACGGGGGTGGGGGGGTGGGGGGGGTGTTACGCTTTCTTTAGACACAATAATCAAACAGGAAGTGTGTGTGGAGTAAGATTCTGGTTTGGAGGGTGACTTGCACTTTGTCAAATTTTTGAGCAGTGATGTGTATTAACTGGTAGGTACCACTCCAGACCTTAGCACAGTCTTTACTGAAGTGGTCCTAGAAAACACATTTTTACTATTAGAAACTGATATAGCATATGAAACCTTGCTGGGGCTCAAAATGGCCCAGGAGTCCTGATAAATGGTAAAACACAATCCTATAATAAAGCCCCACGCTGATTGGACTGTTTTACCCTGATTGCTTGATGCTGGCAAATACATTGCTATCCACCTTTTGTCAAAGGTTTTATTTTCTTCCTTTAAAAGCATCTGTGTTGACAATTTTTTGCACATGCACGAGTGTTGAGTGCAAATAAAACACACAAAAATGGCTTGCTGTCAAGATTCGACAAACACTTTAAAGAAAGTTTCCCCCGTATATAAACAACTCTTTCATTTTTCACTTTCCGTTACCGAGTGAATTCCAAGGAAACGTATCAACCCAATGGGCTGTGCAATCGATCACACAGCAAACATGAACCACCTGCTTCAATAAATCCTCCTACAAACATGCAAAATGATCAACTCATAGGCAAAATACGTCACTTCTTGCCACAAAATCTAATGATCCCAAGATCCTCCTTTAAAAACTGATCATTAAATTCTTTATTTTTATGTCTTTTGTCCTTTTTTCAGGTGGTCTCCAACAGGGCAGATATGGCTATCGGTTCTCTCACCATTAACGAAGAGAGGTCAGAGGTCGTGGAGTTCTCAGTTCCCTTTGTAGAGACCGGCATCAGTGTGATGGTTTCTCGCAGCAATGGAACAGTGTCACCTTCTGCATTCCTCGGTAAGATAATGTTCCACTTTTAATGATGACTTTTGGCATCCGCGTTATATTTTTTTAAGTCCTTACAAATAAAATAGGATTGTTGTATTAAACCAGACACTACAACGTTCTGTCTTTCATTTCTGCAGATTGTTTTTATTTTTTCTGTCCTCTATTTGAATTTTCTAGTCTTACATGTGCAGTACCATCAGTGACATATTCCATATATCATAGGGGTAATTCCTCATTCATGCCTTCACTTCTGACATGCTTTTGTCTCCCACTTCACTTGATAAGTTTAATTCCTTGCATTGTTTCTCAAAGCAAAGCTGCCAGTGCAGACTTAGAATATGATTTCTGCTGCGCTCAAATTAGCTGACCTCTTTTGAGATAAGTACCAAAGCTTCTCAGAGCTCAACTCTGTATGAGTCGACGCCTAAAAGATGGAAAAATGAGAGAAAAGAGTAGCCGGGCAAGCCGGACTTTGCAAAGCAAGAATTTGCTCTAGTTAGGCTTAGAAAAGAGAGCAAGAGACACCAACCAAGAAGGAAAAAAAAAAAGATCAAGAAAGCTTCTATTGGGGTAAAAAATATGATGCAACACTTAGAGAGAAAGAGACAAAAAGAATAAAACACAAAAAAGTAAAAGTAAATGTTTTGGTGAAAAGAAAAATTCTGCTGATTGAAATTTGCTCTGATGTGTTAATGTGGACTGTGGCTGGTCGACATGCTGACCTCTGTGTGTGTGTGTGTGTGTGTGTGTGTGTGTGTGTGTGTGTGTGTGTGTGTGTGTGTGTGTGTGTGTGTGTGTGTGCGTGCGTGTGCGTGTGTGTGTGTGTGTGTGTGTGCGTGTGTGTGTGTGTGTGTGTGTGTGTGTGTGTGTGTGTGTGTGTGCGTGCGTGTGCGTGTGTGTGTGTGTGTGTGTGTGTGTGTGTGTGTGTGTGTGTGTGTGTGTGTGTGTGTGTGTGTGTGCGTGCGTGTGCGTGTGTGTGTGTGTGTGTGTGTGTGTGTGCATTGCAAAAACCAAATGAGAAAAAAGTTGAAAAATACAAGTTTTTACACGGATCCGTTTGGAAATCTGCTAAAGTGTCATCTCATTGGACATCAAAGGTTATGGTGATTTTATCATATTTGTATGCACAAAGAAACAGATAAGTGTTTTGTAGTGAGGGTTTGATACAAAACCACTCTTACATTAAAGTCTGTCAGCATCGAAAGCTTATTGAATTTCTTCCAATTTTTGTCTTTTTACCAACACTTCCTCCTTTAAAGGCCAGGATTTGACACAAGTCCTCACCTGGAGACAACTTATCTCCTAATGGAGCTCATCTGTTTCATTTACGCCTTGGGCAGCTTAATTCATACGTTCAGAGGTGCAGCAGTACATCTATCCGTCTGTCAGTAGAGATTTAGAAGACAATCTGAAACATGTCACCGATGGGAGGAAGCACAGAGCTCCCAAGGCTTGTTATTTATTTATTTATTTATTTTATTTTTTTATCTGATATTCTCTGGGCCAAGAGTGACTCCACACATCGTAGCTGTGCCTGTGTTAGTCCAGGTACTCCTGAATGCATTGTATGAATGTATGAGGTGCTGACTGAAAGTGTAAGAGGTAAGCAAGTCCAGAGAAAGTTAAGAGCAAATAGAAACACAGGGAGAGGTCAGCGGTGAAAGAATCAATCATGTGAGAACAGAATAAGTTCAAATACCACCAGTGAAGGAGGAAAAATGACCCAGGAAACACAAGGAGAGCTTTGAAAACCTAACAGTCTGGAAAGTAACTTGAATGCAGTACAACCGTCTATATGTATGCGTGTGTTTATTTATTTATTTATTTTATGTAGGGGCTGGGGATCCCTGGCTTGTCGGGGCAACGGTGTCCTAAAGAGGAAAACACTGTTTTAGATTACCAAATGATTAACCATATGCATAACTTACAAGACATTAAGACATTAGAGTCCTTATCTTGTGAGTTTCTGGTTTTCAGTCAGATCTGCTCTTGTTGAAATGATTATTTGTTTTACTCAACTCAAGCCCTTACTGCTACTCCCTGAGCACAGAGGATGACAGTCATCTGCTTTAATCCCATAAAACCTGCTGGGAATGCTCTTTGGCATGCAAAACAAATACACAATGTTGTCACTTTATTTAGCAACTTGCTGCTAAAATGCCCTTGAGGTAGGACACATAAACCTCGTTAACCCCAACTCTAGCCACATGTGCCTCAGCAGCACCAGACTGAGGTTGAGCCTGCAGCACCCAGCCGTGGTTATTAAAGAGTGCATCTTTTAAAAACAGGAATTAGTCTCCATTTGACATCCGCCGCTTTAAGACGAAGTGAGAATACATCATTTTGTTCCAAAACAAGATATGCCAGTGGGAAACAGATTCTACAGACGTTGATTGTGGAGAAACAAATGAATAAATAAAACAACTCTCGCATTTTATCTGAAAGCTGATTTAATTTCGAAGCAGTAAATTTTTTATTTTTTTTCCACCCACCTGCAACCTTCACGGTTTCTGGGCACTATGCAATTATTTACACGCTTCCTCTTCCAAGACTATTTTGATTTATCCACAGGTATATTCCACACGTGACTGGACTAGAAACTACACAGAGGATTCCCACTGGGGTGAAAAATTATAAACAGATTGTAGAAACAATTGAAAAATGACTGGTATTTGTCACACCCTGTCCTGTCCCCCTATTCTGTTCAGTCCTGTGTCCATGTTAATTGCTCCCACCTGCCTCTCGTCTCCCAATCACCCAAGGTCCCAGCTCCTCCTGTATTTAAACCCTGTTAGTCCATTTTGTCTGGTTGGTTCATTGTTACATTGTCCTACGTGTCCCTGAATAAATCCGTGTTTTAAACGTTCCTGTCTGCCTACCTGCCTGCTTCTTCACCAGCGTGTGGATCCACACCGCCGCTTCACTCACCGGCACGTTTGTGACAGAATGAACCAACCCAGTAAAGGATTCAGCGGGGAGGTTCTTCCTTGGGACTGTTTGCTCCAGTTTTTAACCGCAGATCACAGGCCGGCTTCTCCTCCTCTGGTCTCGTCTCGCCGCAGACGCTGTCGCCGAACCCCGGCTGCGACGATCCCCTCCGCCCTCCCGGAGCTAGATGTGAGGTTGGACCAGGAGATGCAGCTAGACCGCTCCTGCTACGTGGGCACCAGACTGGCTGTGTGCTCCCCCGGAGCTGGCCCACGGCGTTGGGAAGGATGCCGGGCTCCACCGTCACCCCTGGTCCCGGGACGGAGCCGCGAGCTCGCCGCAGCTCCGGCTCGCTGCGCCAGCTTGGACCCGCCCCCAGTCAGACCAGCAGTCCCATCTCCGGTCCAATCAGTGCCTCCGTCATCTGCAGGTGGAGGAGCCACGCCTACAGCCCAGCTGACAGAGCTCGCCGGCCTCCAGGCAGAGTTTGGCCGGATCCATCAGCTCGTCAGCCTCCAGGAGTCCCAGCTGGACACCCTATCCTCCCCGAATCACCAGGAGAAGGTTCCGGTCCAGTCTGCAGCTCCCTCATCTCTTGGCCAAAGGATCGAGCCCGCAGTCCAGCTCGCCGGTCTCCGAGCTGAGCTGGCCCAACTCCATCAGAGCCTCAGTCTCCAGGAGCTCCAGCTGGACAATCTATCCTCCCTGCTCTCCCAGTTTCCGGAACCACCAGTTCAGTCAGCTCCAGTTCCTGTGGTGGTCCCGGAGGTCGCACCGCATCCAGTTCCTGTGGTGGTCCAAGAGGTCGCACTGCATCCAGTTCCTGTGGTGGTCCGAGAGGTCGCACTGCATCCAGTTCCAGCGGTGGTCCCGGAGGTCGCACCACATCCTGTTCCAGCGGTGGTCCCGGAGGTCGCACCGCATCCGGTCCAGTCTGTCCAAGTGGTCCCATCTGTAGCAACTCCTCCTCCACTCCAGAACCGGCGGTCCATAAGCCGACACCCCCGGACCAGAAGTCGATGCCCCCGGACCAGAAGCCGACGCCCGCGGACCAGAAGTCAACGGTCCAGAAGTCGACGGTCCAGAAGTCAACGGTCCAGAAGTCGACGGTCCAGAAGTCAACGGTCCAGAAGTCGACGGTCCAGAAGCCGACGGTCCAGAAGTCGACGGTCCAGAAGCCGATGGTCCAGAAGTTGATGGACCAGAAATCGACTCCCCCGGACCAGAAGTTGACGCCTCTGGACCAGAAGTCGATGGAGTTCGATGCCCCTTCCAGTCCTGTGGTCGAAGCTCTTTCCAGTCCAGAGGTCGACGCTCTTTCCAGTCCAGCAGTCAGCGCACTTACCAGTCCAGCGGTCGATGCTCCTTCGTGTCCAGCGGTCGACGCTCCTTCGTGTCCAGCGGTCGACGCTCCTTCATGTCCAGAGGTCGATGCTCCTTCGTGTCCAGAGGTCGACCTTCCCTCGTGTCCAGAGGTCGACGCTCCCTCGTATCCAGAGGTCGACGCTCCTTCGTTTCCAGAGGTCGACGCTCCCTCGTATCCAGAGGTCGACGCTCCCTCGTTTCCAGAGGTCGACGCTCCCTCGTATCCAGAGGTCGACGCTCCCTCGTGTCCAGAGGTCGACGCTCCCTCGTGTCCAGAGGTCGACGCTCCCTCGTGTCCAGAGGTCGACGTCCCCTCCAGTCCCGTGGTCGACGCCATCTCCAGTCCAGTGGTCGATGCCGCTGCCTTCAGCCCGGAGGCCGACGCCGCTGCCTCCAGCCCGGAGGCCGACGCCGCCGCCTTCAGCCCGGAGGCCGCCGCCGCCGCCTTCAGCCCGGAGGCCGACGACGACGTCTCCAGCCCGGGGGCCGACGCCGACGCCTCCAGCCCGGGGGCCGACAACGCCACCTCCAGCCCGGGGGCCGACAACGACGCCTCCGGCCCTGAGGTCATCGCCGCCGCCTCTGCCCCAGGCACAGGTCCCTGGACTCTACTGGTCCCTGTCTCCTCTCCATCGGTCCCTCGGTCCCTCTTGGCCCTCCCTCCGGTTCCCCCTCCTTCCGCCCTGCTCTGTGTTCCTGTGGGCAAAATCTTGATT